CGTATTTGAATTATCGCCGGTGCAGGTTTGGCAGTTGCAGCACGCAAACTCTGCACATAAAGAGCGGATTCAATTAGAAACCTATTTGGGAGAGGCGGCGGCGAGTGGATCTGAAGCCTTGATATATGCACGAACGGAAATCTTAAAATGGCGCTCATTCTCGGTATATTTTCCGCATTATATCCTAGAAGAATAAAAGAAAACGTAGCGTCACGATATGGCCATCTCTTCTAGACTACTATTTCGCACGTCCTCCTCGCGGAATTTATTCGAGTCGTATAAAAGAACCGACAATTCCGAGCAAACGCCACCGAGGAAATATATCAGCTCTATATCTGACAATGGAAAGAATAATATTACACACATAGAGCGTTTGATATACAGCCATCTCAGATTCAAAACGCAAATTAAACGGTCGCGAAAACGGCCGTAAATCTCCGCCGGAATTAGCACGAATTACTCGCAATTGCGAGGCGCCGTTTTTGTGTATTTTTTTTTTATATATCGATAGTAATCACTGTCGAAACTTTCGTGAACACACAGGTACTCCATGATGGTGTATAGACACAACACTCGTAAACTAACGGGATACAAGGCAAGTATACGTAAGACGATGTATATGGAATAAGAATAAAATCACACGCACACCGAGGGCTTGATAAACCGCAATCTGAGTCAAAACTCGAATTAAACGGTCGCGAAAACGTCCATAAATCTCTGCCGACAACGGCGGAATTAGCTTTATTAACACGTCCGTCCCTTCCTTACATATCTCTTTCGCAATGACGTCACGTCGCGCAAAATAAATTCCCTTGTAAAGTTTATGCAATAATTCGTAGGAGCTTGTTTTCCATTTCGTTCGAAGCCCTTTGCGTGAACACCTGCCATGTATCTCCCGGATGAACTCTCTTTATACTCTTCTCCCCATTTTAACCCATGCACCACTCACTTACATAAATAATCCTCCCGTTCCTTCCTAGACGTTTATATATTTTTACGGTTGTTAGCGTCCCGCTCCCTGTGACACGTTCAAGTATGCAAGATATACAAAGAACTCACGATTCCAATTATCCTATGACATAAATTCCCGAAAACGAATTGCAAACAACGCCGAATTGCTCATGATTAGTTGCTCCAACAAACTCAACCCTTGTGGCGTGGAGGGCTGTTTGGGCGGGACCAAGAACTCGGAATTTTGCTGATTCACACAAATCTCGCACACGCAACCCGAATTGCTTTTAATTGCTTTTTATGTAGTTTTTATCAGCGGATCGGCGAAGGGCTGGGTGCGGAGTCTCGCCGGGACGTGTGGACCCCGAAAACTGGCAAATTATGAGCCGACAGGGCGAAAATGCGCCAGTTTACAGACAGGCGTCGTAATAATTTTGAAGAAGCAACGCAGAGAAGAAAGCAGTATTTTGCCAAAAGTTTGGGTCTCCGGTGGACACAGATTTGAACTTGAGTGTTCACTTTTGGCTCTTTGTTTTAGGGTTTTGCACTACACGCTTGCTGTATCGGAGTGGAATATCGCTCTAAAAGTTTGGCACCGAGCCTTGCTTGCTTTAGATTTCCCATCGGAAGATTTTGCGAGAGTTTTTGCGCCGCCCAATAAACTCTTTTTATGTTGTATCTCTAAGCCCAGCTCTTATTGCACGTGATGGCTGCGCGCTCAAGGTTCCAACTTGTAATTACACAAGGTGCCGTAAACCAATAAGCCCTCACCCCAATAAAGGATTAAATAAACTTCCACGGGTTAAGAAGCGTGCCTTATCAGCGGTCGCAATTTCCGAGAAGACGCTTATTTTATGCGATCACCCGAAAAGACGTAATTTTCTAAAGCGACTCCGAAAAAGCCAAACATGTTGGTCCAGCTGTGTTTGGCGTAATAAAGAGGCGAAAATGTGCCTCTTAGAAGTACTCGGCACGCACCTTATGTTAGTACGTCGATTATTGTTTATGTTCACTCTTTTTCCTTCCCCTGGAAGCGATAAAACCACTATACTCTCTGAATAAAACTGTTGGCAAAGTCGTTGCGGAAAGGGGATTACGATTAATCGGAGGATTTTACAGCGTTGTGAGCACGTATACAAATCATTTCACTTAATTTATCAGCTCTCTGTTTAAATGGACCGGCGTAATGGCGGGATCGCTGCGAATATTGCATTCTTTCCTGCGACCGCCCGACACCTGCATGTCCTCAAATTAATTAACTCGATCGGCCACTGGAGCTATTCCGGGAACAACGACGCTGACGGAGCTTTAACAATGCTCTTCTCTTTCAAACGACAGCGGAATGCAAAATGAACAGCGGTCGAGCCGCTGAAATGCGCCGAACAATCATGCACTGTTAGTGTTGCGGTTGCACTGTTAAATAGGTAAAGACTACACCAATGCAAGGTAATTGATCGAGGGAGCAACCACGGAAATATCAAAAGCGCGGTTGTCATCGGGAATGAAGAGCTCTATGTGGAGCGCTAGGATTGATTGGGTTACCGACGCAATAATAGAGTCTCTGCACGCCGCGATAACATTGGTGTCAAAACTATCGATGTCGCTGCCAAGTTGGAGGTTCGCTTGTATAATAATAATAATAATAATAATAATAATTAAAAAAATTACGTGAACAAACAAAAAAATAATAATCGAGGACTCACTTTATGGGTATAACTTACAAAATAGCATTTATCAATATTTAGTTTTAGTTTGTGACGGTTACGTAACCATAAAATATATTCATATTTTTTTGGAAAGTAGGTATACAATGTCAGATTCATTATTTATGGCCGAAAATAATTTATTGTCATCAACATAGGCTGGTACTTCACAAAACTCGACAGATATAATAAATCGTTCATGAAAAGAATGAAGAGAAGAGGGTCCAGATTCGATCCTTGTGGTACCCCGGATGTAGCCACATAATTTTGGAGAAAAACCAAGCCGCTTCCTTAATTTCTCAATTAGTATCTGATGGTCAATTATATCGAAAGCACTGGAGAATCACATTGAGTTGCCCACGTTGATCAAGTTTTTCACTAATAAACTGGGTTTTGGCCACTAAGTTAGTACCTTTGGATCTTCCGGGTAAAAAAGCCATGCTGATTGGGTGAGAGGTAACGTTCTTTCGTAGCACTGATGAGAGCAATTCAGCAAAAACTCAAAAATTTTCACCAAAGGAAAACCAGAAAAATCGATAAAACTTTGAGAAGGAGCTAAAACGTGCAACAACCTTATTCTGTACCGAAGAAACAGACAAAGTAGCCGAGACTTGAGTCAGGCCTGACCCCTTGAAACGCGCTAGAGTAATTAGAGAGGTATTTTTCGCGTCAATGTACCTTCCACAAAAGTCGGCGTCGCGTCGCCTTAATTATTCGCCGTTTTAGCGCGAGTCGGCCGCACATAAACGCCCTCCGCAAATTGCCGCCGTCATATTCGCTCCACGCATTATTACTAATAAAGGAAATTTCTCATCGCGAATTAACTCGGTCCGCGAAAAAGCTCTCGGCAAGCAAGCAAGCAAGCGAGCGACCCAAACAAACAGCGGAGTCCATCTACTCCTAAATCGTTCCGCACATTCGGCAACAATGCGGTCATCAGTTCGCCAAGCCTCGATCGGAAGTTCAGAGACGGCTTGACAAACTCAATAGACCTGTCCCAACAAAAGCGGTATTCATTGTTTGTCGATTCCTGACCAACAACTTTTAATTCGACGTTCCGCAAATAAAACTTGGGAAACATTTCAGACATCTCGCTTAATAAAAACATCTCTCTTCTTCCTCTCGAGCGGCGTTGCGTTGGCTCCCTGCCTGCTGTTTGAGTTTCAATGCAAAGAACTCGGAGTAATTCCGATAATGCGATTATACTTTTGTTATTGTTAAGACAGGCATATTTTAATTAAAACTCCGGCCTGTTTTTACAAACAAGCTCAGACCATTTGCGTAGCGGTTCCTTTTGAATATTCCATCAAATACCCGACTTTAATCACCTTTGTGTTTTGCATTATGGATCCGGGCTGCCGGCCCTCGAAGAACGCCGATCGGCGAAACTTCCGGCGCTGAGTTACGCGCAGAAGAACGTGCGAAAGTCCAGGAAGTTCGAATTTGCGCCCACTCACGCATCAAACTTTTACCTAGGCGAGTAAGCAGGTACTTTGGTTTTTGCGGCTCCGTGGTTGCGGCTAATTTTTTCGCGCCGGGCACTTACCGTTAATTAAGCCCAGGTCCTCCAGCGTCTCCGCGCCCATTTTTGCCCACCTCCCGGATTAATATTAGGTCGTTTTGAAACCTCGCTGTCGCTATTGTGGTCGGGTTGATGGCGCAAAACACTCGCTGTTTTGTAATTAATGAGCATTAAAATTAATTTAGGGAGTGAATTCGGTGCGACGGCGGCGCGGAGGAGGACGTATTAAATTTGGGCTTGTATGTCTTAATGACGCCCTTGTCGAAAATCTCAAAGAGCGAGTCTCGAGTTACGGGGGCGACAGCGATAAGACAATTGGAGACGTCTTTCAGCCGGATATTAGGTCATTAACAATCGCCCACTTTTCCTTGTTGACTACTTCGCCTATCGTTCGTTCGTTCGTTCGTTCGTTCGTAGGGAATTGGGTCAACTACTGATAGCGCGGGACCTTGTCTCGAGTTCGAGTTAGATAGGCGATGTTTGATGCAGTGGCGGCCATAAAGCAGGAGCTGCTCGACGCAAGAGTACGGCCAAATGGCAGCTTGCCCATGCCGGCTGCTGCGCTTTTTCTAATTGAAAAGCATCGGTGCGGGATTCAAGACTTGAGACAGACTGACTGTCTCCGGATGGAGCGATCGGGGTTATTGTGGTCGATCGGGATCGATTGGTCGAGGGGGCAAACGCTTTTCCACCGCAGTGCGAAAAATTTTCGCCGTCCCTCTCGTCCGGTCCCACGCTCTAAACGAACCCGAGGTAATGCAGCGATCGTCCTTGTCGTTTTCTGACCTCGAATCGGCCTCGCTGACCTCTGCCTCTTGTTCCAGACCTGCTACGAGATGGAGCGCTACCTCAAGGACGAGCCCAAGATGCAATCGTTTAAAAAGTTGCCCTCGGATATGGAAAGGACGTGGTACGAAGTGAACTGTATAGACGACTATAGTGACCGGCACCTGGACGCGTTCAGTTCAGCGAGTTCGCCCTGCTCGTGGGACGAGGGCGGCGCCTTGTCGTGCGCGGTCCTCGTCAAGCAGGAGCCGATCGACGACGAAGAGGACGAGGACGAGGGCTACGAGGGGCAGGTGCACCACCACGGCGACGACACCGGGGACGCGCTGCAACTGCGTTTAGTGGCGAGGAACCCGGCGACGCTGACGCCTCCTTCTAGTCCCGAATCGGGACCCGGTCACAGTAACGGAAGTTCTAGTGCGAGCGAATTGGACGTTTGCGGACTCAGGGTGGGCAGTGTATCCAGGAATGCGATTGTGCGGGTTAGGGGACTGACGAGGTACATATCGGTCGTTCCGCGGACCACGACGCAGAGTCCCGTTTCCTCACCCGCTTCCACGCCGACCGTCAAACATCGGCTGGACCACTCGCCGGACTCGAAGCGGAGGATACACAAGTGCCAATTCCTAGGCTGCAAGAAGGTCTACACTAAGAGCTCGCATCTGAAGGCGCACCAAAGGACACACACAGGTTAGTGGCAACCGATACGGAAATCTTCCGATTCCATCGTAATAATAATCGGAACTATCGTTCGTAAAGAGATCTTGCCCTGCCCTCGCAAGTCGTCCCGGTACAATTTGGCCCGCATTATGCACCCCCATTAATAACGACTTCCCAGGGAGCCGTGTCCACTAATGTATCACCGGCAGCTCTTCGTCTGGCAGTCGGTCTGACTATTCGCCGGCAGTCGTAATTACAGTAGTTGCATCCCAGTAATGGCCGGTTAGTTCGTCGTCATCGCGGGAAGTCCGGGCGCAACCCGCATGCATCACCGCCTCCGGTGCTCTTGTTCATAACGCTCGCCATAACTGCGTTCAGGGGCGGAGTGTCAATTTTTTTTCGGGGTACTAACTTGACAAAAGATTTAAGTAAATATAGAAGTTACCGGGTTTTTATTATTCGCAACAGAACATCTACATTATTAAAAGCGACTCGTATTTAGAAAAAATAGAAAAGGGTTTTAATACTCATTACCATTTTCCAGGAATTTAAATTACACGAAACGAATTCCCACACATTTCAAATGGTTTTTTAAGATTTTTTTTCTCGGTAAGAAGGTCTCGGGGCTTGTGGGTCCATCAGCACCCCGACACCCGTGTCCAGTCCGCCCCTGATTGCATTGCTCCCCGCAAGAAATATTGCGAGTCGCGCGCAAAAAAAAAACCCTAAGAACGAAGACCGAACGCCTCTAATCCCTCATGGAGGAATTCCAAATTGCTCCATTTATTCCCCTACTAACAGCTCTTAATCCGCTTTGCGTACTCAGTGTGTTGGTGTCTACCGGCTGCAATTCGGCGGCCGAGATTACTCGGTATTAAATGCGGAGGCAACAGGGCCGGTCCGCCGTGGCAGGCTGGGTTGTTCGTGTCCTGGTCAACGTGCAAACCGGAACAGAGTCAGGGATTAATGGACGTTTGTGTCAGAACCGAAAAGGGGCCGATGTTGTGAATAATCGATACGATGAGGCGTTTTGGACAAAACAGCAAAGCGGAATGGGACCGAGTTAACGGGGTTTCTTAGATGGGCCCGGAAGCGCCGCCGTAATCCGGGCCGAAGTTAGTTCCACGTGAAGCCGTTTCTTGCCGGCTGAAAAAAAGCAAAATTTCGCCAGGTCGTCGTCCAGCTGAGCGTTCTACGATGACTCCTCCATCGACGAAAGCGCATTATGCAGAAATGCCGGTCGATTCCCATAGCTCAGGGATCATACGCGCATCAGCAGGATACACCGTATGACGCCGTCTCGATAAATATTAAAATCGCGCAAGTGAAACGATTGAAAGATTTGATTCGTTTTATATCCGTACAGTTTTATTTCGGGCTTTGGAGAAGATCGCATATGAAATTTTCCGTTCCACGGCGAATAAATCGCATCCGAGAACAACACACGCCGTATGTGCATCCATTTGCTCGATGTCGACGTCAGATTGATTATAGGAGAGGCTTGCACCCGACGCGACGGAAAGTTGATGGCCCTAATAATACGACCCAAGTGCTCGGAAAGGACGAATCTCGCGAAGAATTACGCAAACGAAAAAAAATTTGATTTTTAGCCGCCGTTTACGCATTGCCTCGCCGTTGATTTATGGAAATTTTCAATACTGCGGAAATATTAAACAAGGGCAGTGTGTTAAACTCCGTTTAATGTGGCCCAAATATTTGCGAGCTGCTAATTTCGCACTGTTTGCCGAGGAAATTAATATCGATTGAAATTCAAGACGTTCTCCTTCCTAATTTAATATCTCAAATAAGGACCATAATAACATCAATGAGGATATAATTATAATGCGCGTTGTGCGGATCTTCTCGGAATTAGGGCGGCTCAAGGACGAAAAATTTGGCGTGTCCGTATTAAGTAAATCTGGTCGTTAGGACGCTGCCTAATTATGCAGGTTTAATGCGGGACTTGGAGGACTAATATCGTCACGAGTATCGTTTAAAATTAACCGGCCGAAACGAGAAAGTGGTAATTGCCGCACTCGGAGCAGTCAGATTTGTTTTAGGAGTTGCTAACGGCGCGAAACTTATGCCACTTTTAAAACGGCCCTTCGGCTAGAGAGGCAAGCTATTTTGTCAACTTATACAAATTAATATAGAGTTTTTATTAACGAAACGAGCTAAAAACAGTACCATCTTATGTCATGGACTGTCACTTTGACTTGGTCCAGTGTTTGCAAGCCGAACAACAAGATCATGTGTCTCGCTATCACACTTCAGAATTTACACGGAGCAAAAATAAAAGTCACGGAGAAATGTGGGAAATCTTATGAAGACGATCGCAAAATTCGGAATGTGCCAGTAAATAAAGATGTTGAGTGGAAACAGTGAGGATTACGCCGTATATACACTTATACCCGTCGTTGCTCTATTAAACTATCTAATGGCCGTCCTTTACGGTTATTAAAATTGGCATTCGGTACCTTCCCGCTTCATAAAATTCAACAACTTTAATGCCTGAAGTTGTAAACTTCCAAATTATGGGCACTGTTGCTATAACTGTTTCAGAAGCGTTCAAGAGACAACAAACCATTACATTTTACGGACAATAATTATTACGAGTCCTGATGAAGGAACAAGGTACACTTTATGGACACAAGTGCTTCTTCTTCCTCTAACTACAAGTTTCGCGTTTAATCAGAGAATAAAAAAAACTGACACGGAATCGCAATTAACATGGTGTAACTAATCGCAAGCACTCCGACTCGTAGAAAAAGGACCATGTTAACTTGCGGCGTACCACTATACGTTTAATTAATTGTTAATCAGAACACTGGTTATGCAGGTACCGATAAAACAATTTGTAGATAGAAGTAGTGTTCGCCGCGATAATTTTCTCTCGATGCAGGTGTCTATAATAACTTGCCGTATAATTAGTACAAAAAACAAAAGCAAGATCGCTCATCGAACGTCTATCCTCTCTTTCTAGAATCGTCGTCGTGTCATTCTGAAGAACGAACGTCTGTTTTGATTTTTTCGGGCGGGAATATAGCTCGTAAATCTGCCTTCCGTCGAACGTCTGCGTGCATTCCCTTTAATTAATCTAATTTCGTTATCTACACACCTAGCGGCCCTTCCCGGTCCGTCTTTTCCTCGACGTTGTGTTGATAACGGTGGCAATCTCTTTACAATGCTTGTGTATGCGCGCATAAAGGAACAAGGTGGTGTGGCCCTCGGGCTGTTCGCCCGGAATGTTCCGAGCATCCTTTGACGATGTTCCAGAACGGAAGCTCCCCGAGGAGGAGCCGCGGAATGCGTGTGTCACACACAGGAATTCCAAATCTTTTATTATTAAGACGAGTAATATTTTTTTAAATGCGAATGCACGCGAATTCCGCAGAAGGGTTATTCCAGAAATTTAAAAACCCCTCGGAAATCCGTCATACTTTGGGGTTGATATTGTTGTGTGCGCGCTTGTACGACTCATTCCGCTTTCAATATTTATTGCACACGACTTGGGCATTGTACGTATGTTTCCACGAAGAATTGAATCGCTTTCCTGTTGTTATTACGAGACCATATAAGGTACGACTTGAATAAATAAAAACTTTTGTAATTGAGTTGCACCGAGCGCGCATTTTTCTTTGCGTTATCGCGGCCATTTCCACGGTTCGTTTGCATCTAACGCCGCCAAAGTTGCAAACCGATTTCTTGCCGCCCGTATCGCCGCCAACGCGATGCAATTGATGTTGCAGGGATCATTTTCCGTGTAAATAAAAAGTTGGACTTGCTTCGTAAGCAACTCTTTCCGGGGGACGTTACGCGAGGATATTGCCAGGATTTCGCTCCGGGCTCGTACGGAGGCGGATCACGTGCCGAACTACATACCCACCTATTTATCGATACTAGACGTGGATTCAATTGGCACGGAAATCAGACGCGCCGTTTACCACGAGTCGCACCTAGCCGTTTCTTTATCAAGACGTCGTCGGCCGGCAGCCAAACGGACCACCTGCTCGCCCCGGGCACCATTTTTTTTTTCTAATACCGTACGTATCAGAACTTCGGGCACGCTCTATTTTTCCGAAACAAAGTGTAAATACGCTTAATCCCTCATGTATCATCCGCGTATCCGTGAAAAATTTCGAATGCAGGGCACGAAATCATCGCTGACCAGACACTAGAGGGGACTAAACCGGAGTTTTGCTGACCCGCTACCGATCCGGGAAGGAGTACAATTTATACGGTTATGTTTTACAGGAAAATTGCAGCAAAATGACAAGGCTGTGTCAGCACACGTGACTTGTTTAGGAATAAGGTGGCGTTTTTTGCGTTTTGCAGTCGCCTTCGCCATCGATCCGGACAGAGAAAAGTCGGAGCGCATTTTCATAACGCAGGGCCGCACTGACCAAATTTTTTTTCGGGCCGCTAATCCAGCCATAATTAAATTGTATGAGAAAACATCGAAATAATAGAAGTTACCTGTTTTATTATTCACAACAGATGTTATTAATAACGAGGTTACAAATAATTTTAATCATTTTACTTAACCTGTTGTATAATAATTTGTTTGACACTAACTGCATTGTAAGGCAACCACTTTTGATGGACTTAATCTCCGTTGGCAAGAGTGCGAAAATAAAATTTACTTTCATTTAAAAGTGAAAATTTTTTTGCGCTAGGACGTCTTGCTTGAATCGGATGCTATTTGAGGAACTCTGTTTTCGTTACGTTTTGTCCGGGAGGTACAAATATTCCACATGTAATAAATTGTTCTTCTTTATCACTACTATCATTATTACTATCAATATCACTGGTGTCAAACGCACACGTTGTCGCTTTGTTTGAAGAAAGTTCGATGGACCTTCCATTGGGCCATCTGTATCAGAATCAGAAACGATCAGATCACTCGGTTTCTCAGTAATTTTTTTAGGCTTTGTTACATACGAAAATAACGTCATTTGTTTGGCATTTTGATTTTTGAGAATATTCTCGATTCAGTTTCGACCGTTCTTGGCGAGAAAAATATGAGACTG